AAAATTAAGTTTAGTTGTGCTGCATCTTCATCAGACAGAATGTTTCAGTGTCTTTCTATCAGAGCTTTCCATTACGAAGATACTATTTTGGTTCATCATAGTGATTTTTTTTTTCTCCCTGAAGTGTTTGACTTTTTTGAATAGCTGGAGGGGACCTGAATTTACTACCTTCAAGAATAACTCTTAAGTGATATTTAAGATACTAATAATTTAATATGCTATCTTTGAATTTGAAATTTTTGTTGTGAAGATACAGTTTGCTCAGTTTTGACTCTGTAGCCTCTTGTCGCCTGGAGATGCTACAGCCTGAACTCATGACAGCACTCAAACGCAGCCTTAAGTAAAGCGTGTGAGTGTGGTCATTACATTTGTCTAGACAGTCCTTTGAAGGATGCCTCTAGACTCTCCGCAAAAACAGTTTCACTGCCCGTAAGGACAGCAAACCCTCAAACATGACCCCAGAGCACGCGTGCCCGAGCAGTCTCGCTGTGTTAGTATGTGGCAAGGTGTTTCCAGACGGGCTGTTTGCAGGTGATGTGCAGCATGCTTGTGAGGGCCCTGATGTGCCCGGGCTGCCAATGAACCTTTGGGCACACGGTAGTCCCAGCAGCTTCTAAGACTATACTTCTAAGAGCTGTACAAACAAATTTGACTCCAGTACTGATTTCAGCTGGGGGGGCTAATTCTTTAAAAGTAGACTTCAGAGGTTTAAATGTAGACACGATACCCAAGGAGTGGAGAATGCTGTGGGCTTTAAGAAGTTCTTTAATTTTTCACATTTGGTAACGATGAAAAAGGTGGGTCAATTTTATTATCTCTATGATAACAGTTCTGACACCACTAAGACGACACACTGATTTTCAGTAGGAGTTTGGCACTTTCCTCTCTTAGGTACTGTTGAAAATGTCATAGACTGGTTTTGGTATTATTACACGTGCTGTAAGAGTTTCTGCTGGCCACAGTGGAGAGCGGGACCCTCTATGAAACCCTGAGAGCTTGCTCAGGTGACAGCTGAGTCCAGCACAGGGTGGGATGTGGTGCCCAGCAAGTAGAAACCTGGCTTCTTAGCATGTGCCAAGGGCGGTAGCAGACAACAGCAGCTGGGTCCTTGGAGAGGAAGCTTGTGGAGACAGGTTGTATAAATTAAGTGCGGCAGAGAGGTGAAACTGCTGAGCTGTGAGTGAGCAGAACCATGTCATCAGAGATGGAAACCTGGTGAGGCAGTAGGCTTGGGATCATTCTCCAACGCTGGCTTATAGATGTTAAAGGAGAGGTCAATTACTGCTGAGCACTGGTAGTCTCCTGGTCCTGCAAATAGTAGTGTAGGGGTCTGCCTCTTCTTTGGCAGCCCACTATTAATTGTCACTTGTAAGCCTTGTATCACAAGGACTGTGGTCCCTAATAGTAATCACCTGCTTGTCTGCGTCGGTGGCGTGGCCATGTCCTAAACTGTGTTCGTCAGAGGCATGCTTAGGTTGTGTTCTGCTGCATAAACAGAGGTTATTGTGAACGCTAGGAAAATCCACACAGAGTGTATATATAATTAGCTCTTTTTAGTGGTTTGGTAATACCCCATCAGATTCATTACTTTTCCAGTCAAATGCACAGCTCACTTCATGGCTAATCTCCATTTCTTACTGTTCTCTGGCATGGGTTTCCTTTCACTTAGAATTCATGTGATTCACGGGTTACAGGATTTTCTGTTGAAGTGCAATATGTCTACAGAGGCAGTTGTGACTGCCACCACGCTTGTGACTTAATCTGCCTAAAACCGCACAAGAATCAGTGATTTGGAAGAAATTCCTACCTGCTGTTTGTGTAGGATGGCCATCTGTCTGGCAAATCTGAGAAGACCCAGACAACCTTCTGACACCTGTTTCTCCAGCAGCTGTAGTTGCTTATTCAGCTTTTTTATTTTCTCACCAGGTGCTGTTGAGATTGGGTTTTGGATCTGCATTCAGCAGCTTTTGAATTCTAGTCCCAGCACTGTGTACAATGCAAGATCATTCTGACCAATTCACCCTTTCTCTTTCTAGGCCCAAATTCTGGGGCTTCCTAATCACACCTTAGGATTTTGGGCACCTCAGGCTCCTGAATTTGGGCACCTCAGTTCACTCACAGAAACTGTTAAATAACCAACTTCTTTAGTCGGTTCTGGAAAATGCCTTTAGACTTGCTAAAAACCACTGAGACAAATTGGCTTTTAATATCAATATGGCGTCTTCTGTTTGAGGATCATTCCACGTATATTCATGACCCTCCATGTAAATGGACTCCAAGATCCAGAAAAAGATAGTGGAAGTGTCGAAGTGGTACTTTCTAAAGATACTCCTTTTATCTGCGAGAAATTTAATATCTTTATAAATAACCGATTATTGACAAGTCATCCATTCTGAGCCCACGGTAGAATACAAATACCTTTGTCTCTCAGCTCTGAATCTGTGTGTGTGCATGGCTGTTTGCCTATTGAGATGTTCTCATTCACAAATTGTCCTCAGTTTCTGTAGGAGACATTTTTTGAGCAATAAAGAACAAACATTTCATAACTTGGTGTGTGTAAGTTTTGGGGCACTTCTATTAACCTCGAAGCTTATAAAATCATGCAAGAAGGCATGCAGCCAGGAATGGCTTTGCTGTCTTCCATAGTGCCTACATTATAAAAAGTGTTGGACCCCCACGAGGCTTAACATCGTTAAGTTACCATCTCAGAGTTAACTCTGAAGATATCTTCAAAGACATCTAGATGAAACTAGCAAAAGATGTCTTCTGCAGCTTTAGTGTATGCTCTTTTGTGCATGGTACACAGCATGCTGCACTGGACTTCTTTGCTGGAGCAGCAGCCATGATAAACCAAATAAACACAACCTTCTGTAGATGAATGGTACCTCTTGCAACTAAAGGTTAAGGTGTCATCCGATGATTTATCCTTCCCAATGGATTTGTTGGATTGCTGTGATAAGGACATAATTTACTACCTTTTGTACATCAGAGGTTGTGTTCTCAAAACGATGTTTGGGGATTTACGATACTGAAAGGGTGAATTACATGTCAAATTATCAACCATCCTGTTTGACATTTAGTAAGCGCTGATGGGAGCTAGGCATTTAGCAAGATGAGGCTTCTGTAGCACAGTCTTTCGATAGGATTGTTTTATTTCAAGTCTGTTGTTAATCAAATGTTTCTGGAGAAAATCTGTAAAATAGACTGTTAATTGCATGGACTGTTGTGCTGTGGCCAGCCAGATGTTAGTAGTGTGTGTGTAGCTGTCCTCCTCCCTGTAGATTATTGTTAAGGCATTGCCTCCTTGATGGAAAATATTTCATCTGGTAATCCACCAAGTTGTTGCAATTTGGAGGCAGGTGGCACCCCGCTGTAAAGACCCCCTGGGTTAGGAGTGCGTGCCAGTATTTGAATGGTACTTTTGAGAGGAGCAAGTAACTTCTTCCTGCTTCATTATTCACACAGCTCTGTACACATTTGCAGAACTAAGGAGGTTGCTTGGCACATGGACTTTTTCAAAGTATATTCCTATCTGGATACATTTCATTAAAAATTTCCTTCCTACAGTTCCTGCCTTCCTTATCTGACAGTTCTTGATTGGTTGATATAGATTATGATTTTTTATTGGCTATTTTATTACTGTGTGCTGTATGACCTTAAATCAGTATGCTTCAAATGGTGCTTTGTGGATTATATCTAGACTGTTGGATGCTTGTATATGGCCTGCTGTCTTGTCTCCAGAAGGGACAAAATATGTGTATTTGCACAGAGTGCCCAGTCTAACCATTTGATTGCCTCCTTTTGAGCCTCGATCCCAGCGAGACACACACCTGACGCTGCCTTTACTGCACCCACACAGGAGGAGGAGGTGTAACTGGGAAGCATGTCCTTGTTTGTGCCTGTATTGTCAAGCCAGAGAGTGGAATTGCTGCTGCTGTGAGGAATCTGGTTTTGATCTAAGCAACTACCATGGCTGCCTAGAGTGGACCACCTGTTGAATAAGGTTCAAATGAAAGCCATTCATTTAATAAGTCTGTATACCTAAGCAGGGAGAAGGTTCTGTCATAACCCGTGAAAACAAAAGGGGACATGCGTCAGTTTACCTGCCTGTTTACACCTCTTGCTTCCTTGCTCAGTAGCGCAACCTTAGGCAACCCAGGAGACGGCAGCAGCTTATTGCATTGTTTGAGCGTACGATCAATCAGGCAAAAACAAAATGAGGACGCGCGATGAATTTGGCAATAGTATTCCAGGACAGAGTTGCTGCCCTCTTCAAACTGCCTAACCCTCTGGCGTATTCTCTTGACTTAGAAATTGAAAATGCAGATCAGAATCTTTCCTAGTGAGTTGTCTGCTCCTTGTGTTTTTCAGTAAGAAAAAAGAAAAGTCATTGCTTCAATACAGATATGCTATCCTTACATTTAAGCTCCCAGAAGGCTTCTGACTATGTGACAAGACTTACTGTCACGGATATTGCATAACAGTTTATGCATAATGTTTAATGCATTCTCAGTTTTATGAAATATGAATAATATTGGAGACATTTTGAATAATACTTTAGATTTACACTTTCTTTTTAAGGTGGAAACAAGAGGGGCATTTCTAGTGCTCTTCAGTGACACTGGAAGAGTAGAGACGGTTGCTATTAAAAATGAATAAAATCCGTAGAAGTGGAAAAGAGAAAAATATATTGCGTAGATGGATTATGGGCAAATCATAAATGTTTAAAGCATTCCTGGAGGTTAGAAATGCCGTGCCTTTATTCGAATACCATAGCTGTCTCAGCACGTTTCCTCACCGCTCTGTCCAGGGTGTGTTGCTGCTTGGTGTGGAAGGTTGGAACTCAGCTGAGAGGACACAGATATGAAGAATGTTTCTTCTTTTTTAAGGTTTATTATTAAAATGAAAGCATTCAGCATAAAAAAAAAAAAGATGTGATGCTTGTACAACTTCTGTTAAGAGTCAACTCACATCGTATGTATTTGTTTTGTGACCTACAGGACAGCTTTCCAGCTCGGTTTGGAGGAATACATTTCGTCAATCAGCCGTGGTATATCCATGCCCTCTACACAGTTATACGGCCCTTTTTAAAGGAGAAGACACGAAAAAGGGTATTCTTCTGTTTAATTGTCCATTACCTGGCAGTTGTAGTCAGTGGATATATCATACTCTAATAAAGTAGATATGCACAATATATCGCCTTGCTATTGGTGGAAAGTATTTAAATACATCTGCATTATAAAGAGTATCTTTAACTGTTTTGGAAACTTATACAGCGTTATCCTTTAAGGGCACAGTCAAGCAGTGCACTTAAGTGTTTTAAAAATATAAGCATATGCTTTCTCCTGGGTTATATAAAAAATATTGCCAGCATTACGGTTTCTATTAAGATTCTATTCAATTCATTTCTATTCAATTCCTGTTAAAATTATTTGTGTCTTTCTTTTAAGAGCAGAGGTAGTGAGTACGACGTCCTTTCCTAGTGTGATTTCCTTGACATTCGCATGAACTAAACTACACGGCTGGTATATAGTACTTTGAAAAAACTGATTTGAATGAAAATCAATGAAAGGAAATTTGTGTGCATGCATCTGTGCATAAGCACGAGCAGTCTGAGACGTTTCTGAATTTGCAGCATTTGCATCAGTGGAATTATATTAGAGCTTGGTGCTGATAGCACATAGAATGATATTATTTCTGTAACAGGAGATCGTCATACAGGAAAACACAATCAGCGTCACGTACGAAGCCACTACAAAGAATATGATGATCTTTTTTTTTTTTTTTTTAAAATGGGATCAGCTCTCTAAGCAACTCTGTATTTTCTCTCCTCAAACACAGTCTACAAAGCCACAATGATCCTTTGTGTTTAGCTGTTTTTTACTGACAGATTATGCTTGAGAGGCCTCTGGAATTCACAGATTTTGAGCTATAGATCACAAAGACTTTTACAGAATATCTGTTATAAATATGCAAATGAAAACCCATTTTTCAGGATTCAGTTACACTCCGTTGACTACAGCTTCAACAAAGAACATTATGGTGCCGGATATGTTTGAGGCCTTTTTAAGTCAAGTGCTGCGTATGTATAACCAGGGAGTAAAGTACAGCTCATGGGTGTGTTACAACATTAAAAATAAGTGACAAGGCAGTTGAACACGGGTGCTTATCAGTTAGCATCTAAATTTTTGTTTCGACACCTGAATCAGTGGCATATATTTTCACAAATGCTGACTTATTACAACTGCTTTTGTCAATACTGAATACCTATAAGAAGTAGTCAGGTGGTTAAATATCAATTTAGAATCCAAAACTTAGTGTCAAAATGTGAAAGTTATGCCCAACACATAAAATTTAAAATCAGCTTTAAAAAAACCCATAAAAAGCAGAACGAATGACTGTGAAAAAATCCCCAAACCCAAGAGAATTCTCTTCAGAATTTTATCAGGCTCGTTATTTATCTGTCGTGTTTTTCCTGAATTATTTTGTATTTTTGTAATATATCTGGTGGATCTGCAACTGATAGCTATATTCAGATAAATGTAGTACTAGGCATGTACAAAAACAATTGCTAAGAAGTGAAACGTTCAGTTGGAAAGGCACCATAAAACCAATTACTTTTGCCGTTAATATTTGTTCTTTCACACAAGGATAAATTCCTTTCTGAGGTAGAAGAACATTACTGGGTTTGCATGGTCATATTAAGCTTCCTGTCTCCGCAGCTGACTGGAAGTTGGGCTGAAAAAAGCAATACAAGACAAGCACATATTTGGTCTTTTTGTCTTTCTGCCTTTTGAATTGAACTCTTGATAAATCACGCTAGGGGTATAGCGGGCCAGAGAAGTCCCTGCAAGGTGAAGTGGGATATGAATCGATAGCGCTTGATGTCTGTGCGCACGCCTGCCCTGTGGGGAACGAGAGCCAGCGTACAGCTGCTTGGAGGCAACATCCTACCTTGCCTTCCTGGCTACTTCAGCGCTAGTAAATTAAAAAGGGCTGGGCACTGCCATTCCTACTCTTTAATTGGACGGGCACTTTCTGGCATGGCACTGGCCAGTGCCAGCTGGTGCTTTCTTAGACGTTGCCCGGGAACAATTTGGGGATGGCATGGACCGGTGAGCAGTATGGATGAGGTGAGCTTGTTCTGGAGATGAAAGGAGTTTAACCATATGGATGTGAGCTGTGCCATAGCACTTGCTCGTAGTCCCAAAAAGTGAATCCTGACCCACCTTACTTGCTAGTCTAGAAATAGCTGCTGTTAGCTGTCTGTGTAGCCATATCCAAGAGCAGGCGTTTCCTCCCAGTGGAAGGTGAGCAGGTCCCTAGTATCTGTGGGAGAAGGCTGTCCAAATCCAGATGTGCTCTGTTTCTAGTGCTCATCTGTCACACATTCCAGGTCTCTGAGGAGAAGCAGTAAGGTTAAATATAAACATAAATACAAGTATTCCTATACATATACATTTATATAAATGTAAAGCATATCTGAAAATAAATCAGTCTACCAAGACACTGATGGAAAATATCAAGTAGTCCATCAACTATTCCCTCATTGTTGTCACAGAAATTATTTTACTGTTACTACTTATTTCATATATTGTGAAGTATGGATGGTAGTTACTAGTACCACCATATTAAGGAAAAAAATCTTTCCAGTGGAGTTTTCATTACACTGCCCTATTTATCTTATTTATAGAACTCATGTCTGGATGCTGAAAGTCAATATATATTCCTTAATGTATATGGCGAATATTAATTTTATTTATTATTTATGTTCTTAATTTATTCACTTAATTTAATTCACGGGATTAGGGAAAGCAAATTACAAAAGATAGGCAGTCTGTCTACCTAATCTTCAGTCTGTCTAGTTACCTGACATCAGTTCTTACCCTCCTTAGGTCCCTTGTCCTGCAAACATTTTAAGTCATTTATGCGTTAATCACTTTGTAGGTTTATGAACATAGTCTGGCCATGCTTAAGGGAGAGGCGGTGTGTGCGTTGGTGGCCATCCCTGTTAGCCCAACACAGCCAGAATATTGGAACTGTACAATATCCTCTAATAACGATGATGCAATTTGGGCTTTGATGATTTTTGTGATACTGCTTTGTTTTTACTTGCGTGTGTACATACAGATATTCCTGCATGGTAATAACCTCAACAGCCTGCATCAGCTAATACACCCTGAGATCCTGCCTTCAGAGTTTGGAGGAATGTTGCCCCCTTATGACATGGGAACGTGGGCAAGAACGCTGCTTGACCATGAGTACGATGATGACAGTGAATGCAATGCGGATTCCTACAACGCTCCTGCAAAAGATATAGAAAAGGAACTCTCTCCCAAATCCATGAAAAGGTGGGTTAAAGGTACTGTGATCCTCTAGTATTGCCATGAGGTTAGCATTTGCCTTCAATCTCTTTTATGAAGCTGCAGGTAGTTCCCTCAGTTTATTATGTACGAGGACCAATTTTTTTCCTTTCTTAAGAAGATCACTGTTGATTGTAGACCATAGTGTTGATTATTACCCACGTGAGTCGTGAGCTCAGTACAGCTAATTATTTCCATGGTGCCATATAGGTAGTGTATACCGTACTGTGTTTGGAATCAGCTAATATCCCACCCCAGCCTACAGTAAGTATTAGAGACAGTGCTAGCTGGGGTGAGCCTCGGTGCAGAGGGTAAATTGGGGCCAATTATCCAGCTGCGTGGTGATGATAACTCTTAGTTCCTCCCTCTCGTAGCCCAGTGCCTGGTATCTGCCAGCCTGTAGGTGCCAGGACATTTACAACATCTGAACTGTCAGTCACAATGACTGCACACAACATGAGAAAAGGTAATGAGGAGAACCAGGACAAAAATCAGTGCCAATCATTATACTCGAGTCTGGCAAACATCCTGGCGTTCTGATATTCTTCTCCTGGAGAAGATACAGTATAATTGCTGGCTGCATTTTACCATTCAAAATCAAGTAAAGTCTAGGGAGAGGTTAGTTACCTCTCCAGTAACTATGGAAGCAGTGAGGTGATTAACTTGGGAGGGGTAAATCTGGTCCAACCTTGCCAGGGCAGTAGAAGAGAAAGGGGAAAGGTTACAGCAGGGTGATAGAAAAGGTAGCAAAAGTCAGAGTGCAGCTCATAAGGAGTAGGCCTAGCAATGAATCAGAAGAGAACAAACAGGGCAGAAAACAATATATAAAGTCACTAAAATTAAGTCAGAATATGCTAAGCTGAGAATTCAGTTTCAGAACATGGCATTTGATGCAAAAGGGAGAGAGACTCTGGAAGCAGATCAAACAGGATAAAATATTTTCAGCCTCCTCAGCCATGAGGATGATTTTGGCTGGAAAATGTTGCATAGATTGGGGAGGACAGTACGGATTGAAAGAGAGGTATTTTTTGGGAAATAGAGAGGAGACAACAGGAGATTGCCATAGGCGTAAAAAAGAAAAAAAGCAGTGAGGTTTAAGGATTTTGTGTTGAAAAAAAACTACAGTGCATTGAAAGTGGGAAATAGCAAGAGACTGGATGGGAATGAACTAGGACAAGGAGAAGTTAAAAAAGGTCCAGAAGCTATATGACAAAGATGCAATTAACACAAGTAATGGAGAAAATGGGACAGCAAAGAGCCAGGGGAAGAGGAAAAGTGAGCTATACATTTATATATGATTTCCACATAATACAAGAATTATGAGACAATAGAGGAGCTGTGTTGGAGAGACGGGTGGAATTTAGAAGCTGAAATGCAGAAGTCTTACTGTTGCAAAATGAAGTCATGAGAGTAAATAGCTTCATCCAAGGATGCAACAAAAACACATGAGAAGGCCTATGACAAGACCCTTTGGAGCAGACTTTTCCAGACTATCGTGGGCAAGCACGTTATTAAATGGAAAAACAGTGGATTGACCAGATTCTTCATTCTTTCTCGGAGAACGCTTTCTCATGTTTACCTATTTTATTCTCATTTAACTTGTGCTTGAAAAATCCTTCATGCAGAGTTACACTTCAGTGTAGACTTCAAATTGACATTCTTTCAGTCTGGGATAGCTGACACAGTAGGAGACATACTGCAGAAAATAAGCATGTTGAAATTTGTATCTACATAATATTGAGCTGAAATTTCCTCACCTTCTTCACGTTCTTTTTCAGTTAGCGTGTCTGCAGCGCCTGCTGGAATCGTCCTTCCCTGCTGTTGGATGTAAAAAGTACTAAGTAGACTTACTGTGCTAGTACCAAGTAGAAGGGAGTGGTAGTAAGATGGACAGAAAGCCCCAGGACTTTGATGTATTAAGTGCACAGACTGTGTTAAAACAGAAATAGGAAAGTTAAGGTAAAACAGATAAACTCTATTTCATTAAAAATTAAATTTAACTTGAATTCAGCACCTAATGGATTGTTTCTCTCAGTTTAAAACCACACTCAGTGTGGTATGTTAGTGCAGAAGAAGGTTTTCAACATATAAAAAACTATGACAGTAGTCAAGGAAGAGTGCTTAACTTCATAGAACAAATTTCACAAGCATCTAGCACATCTGCAACAATTATCTTGTTTAATTTGGCTTGCCATTTTAAAATTAGTTTATTGCTCTGAAAGAATATCCTTCTTAAACCAAAATCCTGCTGAGAATTCATTTCTTTGTTACTCATTTTTGCCCCCACATGAACCAGTGACGTTCCTCCAGATCTCCTTGAACTTTTGGTGAATTGGATGATCTCTACTTGAAAGGAAGGCTGATCGTGGGGAGGATGGTGGAGATAAGGAGGAATTAGTCCCACCTGTAGCACAGGCTTCTAGGGAGAACGTGTTCACGTCATGTGTCACCGTTGCAGCTGTCTCAGCAGCCATGTTTAGCCTGTGGCTGTGTCCACCCGTGGCTCTCACGGCTGAGGCACCCAGCTGGAGACCTGCATCCTCTTCTCACCTAACCCCGCAGGGCAGATGTCTGTGCTGATCAGCTTTGCAAAGTAGCTGCGTGTGGCATTGGTTCCTCACCTCTGCAATGGGGCTTTGTAGTACAACTCTGTCCTACTGTGTTTTGTGAGAATTTATTCAGGAACGTCTGTAAAGTTATTTGGGAGATGTAGCTAGAAGGTGCTATAGACTTACACAAATGTTTTTCCTTTTGCATACCTTCATTCATGAATTGCTGCTGAATGGAATGAAACATGACAGTAAATGTTGATTTAAAACTGAATGAAAACGGTTTCTCCTTCTTCAAGGCAGTTGGTCTCCTGAGCTTACAAGCCATAGATCAGGGCTTGTGCAGTTTCATTTCCACATCTGCCTTGGCATCAGGGACTTTGGAGGCCTTGGGAATTTGTCTCCAAAACTGCTTCACTGGGAATTTGAGGCCAGGTTTGCAGCCTTTCTAGCTCCCCTCCAGTTCCCCAGATGAGAACGGGCTGCTCAGACATTGGCAGCCTAGGAAAAGGCTCAGTCTCCTACTAGTACTTACATTCAGTTGGGAATCCTTTGAAATTAGTATGCTTCCACAGCATTTTTTATCTTGATGAACTGGGTTTTCCAGGAGTACAGCTTCCCACCAGCAAATTTTCAATCAGCTTTGCATTAGCACGGTACATTGTGAAGATTTTAAAAAAGCATTTTTAATTCAGTGATTTAGTTTTCTGCCTGAGGAACTCACCAGCATTCTAGATGAGGGTTATTGTACAGTTTTAATTAAAAATTTTTAATTATGTTTGTCACAAGAGGGACCATCAGATTTTTAAAGCTAATTTTCTTGATTTTAGCATTAGTAAGAGAATGTGGTAAGTATTACTAGAAAATATCCTTGTGTTTAAAGTTTTCACCTAGGCTTTAATTCAGATGATGTTTCTTGTGTTTTTGAAGGTTTTCTTTAGATTTTTTGAAAAAGACCAAATTGTCCCCTGCTATCAGCCTCATTCATTGGTTTCAGTGAATGATGCCAATTTATAAGAGTGGGGGACTGTCTCTGAATGTTTACCTTAGGATAGGTCAGAATTCGTAAAGGTTTTCCCTGTGCTGTAGCCCTCCAAATGGGCAAATCTGTAGCAATGCTGCAGTCACAGTGTGCCTCCACTGATCAAAAATAGATGCCTACATTGTAGAGATGTACACATGCTCCAGCCGTCTCAAATCTTTACAGAAAGGAAGAGAAATAGGCATTTCTAGGGTGAGGTTCATCTCACTAAAGGATGTCCTGGTTTCGGCTGGGGTAGGATTGAATTTCTTCCTAGTGCTGTGGTTTGGATTTAGTGTGAGAAGAATGTTGATAACACACTGATGTTTTCAGTTGTTGCTAAGTGCCCTCCTAGTCCAAGGGCAGCTCCCATGCCTACTGACTGAGCTAGGTGCACAAGATGGGAGGGAACATCATCAGGACAGCCAGCCCAGCTGGCCAACGGGGTATTCCATACCATGTGATGTCATGCTCAGTATATGAATGGTAGGCGTGATCCAGGAAGTACCGATCGCTGCTTGGTTATCGGTCAGCGAGGGTGGTGAGCAATGGCATTGTGCATCACTTATTTTGTATATTCTATCATTATTATTATTATTTTCTCTTTTCTGTTCTATTAAACTATCTTCATCTCAACCCACGAGTTTTTCTCACTCTTACCCTTCCGATTCTCTCCCTGTCCCGCTGGGGGGCGGGGGGAGTGAGCGGGCGGCTGCCTGGTATTTGGCTGCCTGCCGGGTTAAACTATGACAAGGAAACATCTAAAAAGGGTTGCTTTTACTGTACCCCAGAAGTGTCTGCTTTTTGACAAGCTGAGACATAGGTGATGTAAGAACCCATCTTAACACTTCAGACTTTGTTTTTAATGGAGCATTTTGACTTTGCTGGAGGTTGGGGCTTCCTCTTTTTCCCTCACACACGGCTGTTGCAGGGTACCAGTACCAGTGTTATGCTTCTGTGCTGAATCAGAGAATCTGGAGAAATTTTACAATCATCATTGAATTTGCCCTTACCATCCTTCTCTGCTCTGTGTAGTTGAGCTGATAAGTGAGTTTGACAGATGTGTCCACTGCTCCAGAAATCCTGCTGGCCATGGCAGGATTCCCTCGGGTTGGCTTAGGAGCTTGCACTGTTGCATTTAAGTGCTCTTCAGAAAAGGAGCAACTTGTGCTTCCAGCTAACACATGCCACTAATTGCAGTGTGCCATTAACCAGCTGGCTGGCTGAATTGTACCTTCTTTAACAGCCTGGTGCCATATAACCTTCTGGTAAAGAGTGTCAATGCTTAAGTACAAAAGAGCTTAGTCTGCTCTCTGTTGTGTGCTGAGGATGCACCCTGCTTCACTGTTTCACTGAAGAAAAGAGGATCCGCTTTATTCTGCCTTTTGCTCCTATATCCACAAACCAGCCCTTTAAAGCCATGCAATCACTCCGAGAGGGTATTTTCTGACCATTTGCAATGATCAGATACTTGGATAATGCTGTACCATTATTTTTAAGCCCTAGCAGAAATGAAAATAAACAATAGAAAGCTGAGGTTTACCCTCATTTGTCTTGATCTAGAAATGTCAAATAAACATGTTATCCCTCTGCAGGTCTCAGTCAGTTGTGGATCCTGGGGTGCTGAAACGCATGGATAAGAATGAGGAAGAAAACATGCAGCCTTTGCTTTCACTTGACTAACAGTTCCTGAGCATCGGACATGAACTGAGGTGGAAGGCACTGCCTCTCAGCAACAAGCAAATTTTTGACGGAATCCTATTTACTCATGTTAATGTAGCATAATGGCAGCAGGCAGCAGGGTTTACTATTCTGCCTGAATTCTGGATGCCCTGGGGTGAAAAAGAAGAAGAGAAAAAAGGAAAATAAAATGAAATTAAAAATAAAGAGGAATCAATAATTTATTCTGTAAGTGCCAACTTGTTTGTAAATACAATATAATCCTCCAATTTGACTTTGTAAGTTATGGTAAACAAATGCTATGGAAGTGAGTGACTATTAAATATGTCAGTGAAGTGCACCATAAAAAAGAGAAGAAAACGTGTGTGTGCTCACACACGCACACACATACACACAGAGAAACACATATTGGACAAGGAAAAATATCAAAGCCAATTAAATGTTGGCCTTCTTATAGGAAGCCATATTGCAGCTAGTGTATTGACTGCTGTTTTGTTTTCTCTTGGCAATGCTCATGTAGTGTGCAAAGATAAAGAGGGAATATAAGAACTCGGAGATGCTATAGTCAGTCGAATATTTCCTAACTGTAGGATCTGATTTCCCAAATAACATTGTGGCTTAGGATTGTGATTTAGCATAAACCATGTAGCATTGTGAAAAAGGTAACAGATGAGCTGGAACCAGCTTTTTGACAGCTTTGTTGTTTGGCTGTATGGACCTGTCAGATTTCTTCCTTAACTTTTTGTTTACAGTTCGCAAGTAACCTGGCTCGTTACCCTAACCTGGGTGTTGTAATGTGGGACACATTGGAGTTACTTCTCTTGCATTTTGGGTGCACGTCAAGAATTTTTCCAGAACTCTGTTCTCCCTTGGAATGAGAAAATAGTCCTCTAAATACAGCATAATAACCGGTATTTGAAAGTAAAGCCTGACAGCAGAGGTTGAAAGTTAGTCACTGAATCCTGTGCTCTGGGAGACTGGATACATATATATATTTTTACCAATCTCTGACAAGCATACAAGGTGACATTGTTAGACAAGTATATTTGATTGAAGGTTTATACAAGAAATCATAACTATTCAATGTACTTAGATATATTATAGATTGTATATTGAGACAATGTCATTATTAATATAGTAAAACTTTCCATAGAACAACAGCATCCCACTCCAAACAAGGATTAATATGAACAAGTTGTAGTCAAACATCTCAGCCTATGTGTTTAGGACACTTTTGTTTTGGTTATAGTGTAACTGTATATATTGAACATGTGCCATTTTACCTCAAAAGGGCAACAGGTTTTGCTATGGATGGGGTAAATCAGCTGAAACGCAGGGGCTGTGTCATTTTTGTTGTGTGCTGGCTGATGTGTGTGCAGCCTGTTGTATGCTGAGGCAAGAATGTAATTTCTTATTAGGACTTAACTCTGCAATCAGAGTGAGAAGACACAGGGTGCCCACCAAGACACCTGAATAGTTAGAGGTATTATTGTAAGAGCATGTCCGGGCAATGCAGAGGTTAGTTAAGAATACACTGACCACGGTGGAGCAGATAGCTCACAGCAACCGCGCTTCCCAAGCGCCAGAGTTTAAAGAATTTCTTCCATCACTTCAGTGACCACTGAAGCTTCGACGTCACTGGTTGTAGGTCACCTCTCCTCGCCCAGGATGCTTGCATCTGTAAGATTTAGTAGGCTGGGATGAGTTAAGAGAGAGGGGAGAGTGAAATCTTGGAAGCATGTCGTCTCAGAATTTAGCTGTAACTCCTGTGGTGGCAGCTTTGGTGTTTCTCAGGGCTGAGACAACCCTGTCTCTTCCAGCATCACCCTTGATTAGCCCAGACAGCACACAGATAAAGCTTTCCTACTTCACAGTTCATTAGCAGCACTCATAAATAGTGTATGCCCCAACAGGCGATTGCATCGCAGGAACTTGTCTGAACAAGTCATTGCCTTTCCGCTCTCCTAATTCTAGTTTCATGATACGTGTTATGAAATGCAAAGAGAAAAGATATGAAGCCTGAATGTCTTTTCAGTCTGTCCTACAAGTTTTCAGTAGTAGAAGCTGTTGTAATACTACTATGGTTTGAGAGACTTGAAAGATCAATGAATTGTAATATACTATTTTATTCTGTCCTATTTTTCACATACCTTGTAACATCATGCTGGATAGGTGAGATGTGTCTCCAGGGTTTGCATAAGTGCCATATTTGAATGTATGTTATATATGCCCACACTTATGGTTAGTGGAATAATATAAGTATATCCTTATCAGATAAAACTCTAACATCAGTAGAAATTTTCTCCTTGTAAGGGCTTCAGGATTTAGTCAGTATTCCATATGTACGCAAGCTGTGACATAGATGCTTTCGGATACATGGGCCAAATCTTGGTGTAAACCAGCACAACGCTGATTTTAGAGTACACCACCTGTCTGGTCAGAAAATGCAAATACCTCTTACATCCCCACAGAGCATCTTCGTAGGAAAGTGTATCCGCTCAACTGTATGAAGCTTAAAATTTGTTTTGAAGCTTATACATTTATTTTGTTTGCAAATCCTTTATTTACGCTCTTAGCTGTAATTTATGTAATGTTTTCTGATGCCTGATTTCAGTTTCAAGTTAATGAGTATTAATATATTCTTTCCAGAAAGTGAGAGTAGGATATATTATAATTTTATGTCACTGGGACCTCATCTTTCACCAAGAACAAAATGACATTTTCAATAAGATTCTCACTGTTAAAGAGTTGTACTTCAGGTCTTCTTGGCTGCAGCTTTTATTTCGCTGAAGAAAATTCTGGCAGTCGTAACTGCAGTTGTGACATTGGATAAGAATATGAAAATGGGTAAGAAAAATCATTATCCTTTACATCTCTCAGTATTCTTTGAAGGCATTTCTCTTTTACACATCAGGGTACATAAAGGGTTTCCACCTTTCCTTTGCTTCTTGTAGAAAATCTTTATAGGTAGATCAATTTTTAATAGATTAAATTTGGACTGAAAACTTTTTCCAATCTTTATTGTCATAGGAATTGATGTCTAATTTTTATAGCAGAATTGAAGTGCTAAAAATAGAATTCAAGTGCTTGGGAGGAATTCCTCCTAATTTCTTACCTTTGTTGTATATTGGATAGAATAAACCTTGTTGTAATTATGCATGCTGATATGCATATAAAAAAAAAATCCTGCAATATGAGGAACTTAGTGGAAAAACTGGATACTCCTGTCCAAGCAACTAAGTGAAAAAAAAGGGGGAGAAAAAAATGTGTAAAAATCTATAGTTTCAGGCCTCTGGCAAGATCTAAAAATGTCCCTTTACATGATGTCTCTTCCATGAAACAAATGTTTAAAAATATATGGAAAAGTTATGGAAACTTCCATGCCCAAAGCCTTCCTCCTGTAATCAGAGATGTCAATAGTCTCTTGGCTTTAAAAAGACGGGTAATCAGTCCCACTAAGCTCCAGCAAATACACAGGCTCCCAATAGTTATTAGTTGTAAAATAGCTTTAAGATGTCTTTACAGAAATGTAAATTTACTGTATAGCATATTTAAAAGGATGTTTTGCACTCTGCAAACATGCTACGCCTAGTCACAAAAGATATTTGTAGAGACATACATAAACTAAACACAGAATTAAAGAAAATAGGAGTAGAAGGGGCCTCAAGAAGTCATTGATAAGTGGAGGAGCAGATTCGCTTTAATGTCTCTCTTAAAGAATTGTTTTAGCTCAGTACCTTGCATGGAATGCTCTTTGTGTTATTTAATCACAGTCACAGCAAAGCCTAAGCACATTACCTAAGAAAATTGTAAGCTGACAGTATTTTGTTCATGCCTTTTATCATTTACCTGTTCTGTTTGGGAAATTAAAAAGTTTGGCAAGCGTCCTAAGAACTACCATTTAGAATTACCTGGGAAACACTTTGCAATAAGCTTTGGTCATGTCTCTGTTATTATATTGTTTCTGTTATTATCAGTGTATGTATTCGTCAAGATTTTTGAAAAAGTCATGTTTGGAAGAGCATGAAAAATTCAAAATCAGGCTTCAGGATTTTGTTTAGAATATTAAAATAGTGGGGGGGGGGGGGGGGGGCGCTGAGTTTGGTTTTGATAATCTTTATTTGCCTACGGGGAATACCCTGCTGAGCTATCAACAGCATTGGGAACCAGGACAAATTTGGAAGACAAATATCAATGTGAATGGGAAGAGCAAAGGTCTCAAAGGATTGTACTGAAAAATCACTTAATCACGTGGCTAGTGAGCATGTGTTTGCGGTGCTGAGAATGGTACTTTTGTCCAAGTTCAAAGCACACTATGAAATCAAGAAAATAATAGTTATCCCATTTCTCAGGGAAGCAAAACAGAAACACAGCCAGCTAGAGACATTAAAATCTCAATGGAAGACATTCACATTGTGGTTTTATACGGCAAAAGTGACACTTTGATCACTCAGTCTGGTTTGATCTGCAGGAGAGAAAATAGTGAGAAGAATGTTTGGCTGTTGATTCAGTCATGCCTAGTTCCTTTAGAAACCTACCTAAATGTCTTACGATGAGACATTTACAAACCAGGGGTGATCTGCTTTCCTGTGGGTTAAAACTGAATGTACATTTTACTATTTCTGCTGAGGAAATGGTAAAATGAGAGTATGTCCCCCAAATGAAATGCCTTTCTTCCCTGTATAATTGATGGAAAAAACGTAGTTTGTAGTTTACTCTGAAGACCCCCAAAAGGAAATCTTGGCTGCCCAGTAAAGAAATCTGAACTTGGTCAGGGAAAATCTCCTTTTGAAGGCCTTGAAAGATGTTTATTTCCCATTAACTATACAAGGAACATGAGCATTTTATTTAGAGGCATGCTTAAGTGACGACAAATGAAAGTCCAAGCTGGGTAGATAAGACCCCACATCCTGTATTGCCTTGTAACCTTGAATGATCCTGTGTCAAAGGTCTCTATTTAGCACATTAACTTGGACATATCCTTCAGTCTGCATTTCAGCTTTCAGTGGTGTGGGAATTTTTTCCTATCAGCTTTTGGGATCTTAATTTGTTCCCTTCATATGGGTCTGTTGCCACAAAATGGCATTGACCCCTGCTGGATTGCACAATTTGCGAAGTGATTTTGTTGTTAAAAAGTAACAACTTGTGGTTTGCTGGGCAAAAAGTTGAAACGCAGGTCACAAGCCTCCACT